AGGTCATATTTGTCTCCATTAAGAAGGCTGTGAAAAGAAGCTAAACTCAGTGGTTTGTAGCCCTTACTAGTATTAGTTTAATTCGTTGCTTTCTTCATTTAGTTAAATGAAATAGCTAACTCCTAATCATCCCTTCACACAACAGAACTCGAGTGCTGGGTGGAGTGTCTTCTCCATCTGGGACCCAGGACCTTAGGCTAGGCAGGGTGACTCATGAATGCTCGGCTCTAAAATAGTGTTCAGCAGCAGCAGCAGCAGCAGCAGCAGCAGCAGCAGTTGGCATATTCCACACATCAAATCTGTTCTATTATAACTGTTGGTTTAAATACTATCTCCTGAAATCCTCAGAGAAATTCTGAGGTGGGTGCTATCATTATCCCCATTTTCCAGATGAAGAAACAGGTGCAGAGGAGTTAAGTGACAAAAGGCACACAAAAAGCAGTGGCAGAGCCTAAATCTAAACCTGGTTTGTCACGATTTTAACTACTGTGCCGTACTTCTGCAGCGTATGCCTCTCTGTGCTGTCAATACCTTGGCTCAAGGCGGCTGAACTGCTAGTCAAAAAAATGGGACTAGCCATTATGGCATAGTGGTCCCTGTGTACGACACCCAAATGTCAAATAATCCAGGATTTTCCTGGCCCTGAAGTAGAGGATGGCGACGCCAATTCAGAGCCCTCCTTCATGTGTGCTGCCAGGACCCAAGTAACAATCCCACCTCCCATATCCAACTGCACAAGGGATGTGGGAGATGGGGTATCTATCTCTCTGGCTCCTCTGGTGAAGAGTGCGTTGTCTCTCGTTTTTTGGTCTTGGCAGCTGTCTCTCTCATTTGCTTCCCTCATCCTCTCAGTCTCTAGGTCTCCATGTACTTGTGTCTGTTTCTCCGTCTGGCTCCTTTCTTTTTCTCTATTCACTCTTTGTGTCATTTCTTCCCATTCTTCCTCTTTCCTCCTTTCGCCTCCCTTCTTTCTTTCTTTTCCCCCTCTTTCCTCTCTTACTCCCTTTTTTCAAACCATTTCCTCTAATCTAATTTTCTTACATGCTAGACTCTTTCTGAATGGGAGAGAAATGGAAGAAGAGGGGATTTGGTATCCAGTGTCCCAGGCCAGCAACTACACTAGACTTCCCAACTAATTCATTGGGAAGCAGCCAGAGCCTCACTCCCCACAGCTTCTTCCTCAGCCACCAGTGGCTGCCTTTTAAACTAAAGTGAGCAGTTTAGACAAAAGGGTGACATCAAATTTGCATAAATCCTCCTACCCTCCTTGATAGGAAGTAAAAGCTTACCTCTTGCTACCATTGAGAACCTTTATTCAGATGCTTCTTACTTGGCCTACAGTTGGAGTTCCTAGTTAGAACAAAGAGAACATTCAGAAGTTGACTGACCTCAAGATTTCATTGTACAAGGGCAAATTGGAACAAAAAGAAAAATGATCTTCTGTAAGGAATTCAGCAAGTCAGGGGCAAAGATTGAGAACCCAGGCCTTGCCATCCAGCCCGAGGCTCTTTGTTATAGCCACTTCCTTTTCTATTCACAGTGCCTCTACCAACCCTTGGAACTAAAGCAGCTTCCTTCCATTTGACTCTACCCTTAAGTAGCATTGTAAAGTGAGCTATCCTGGGGAGCAGGAGGAGGAGGCAATGCTGATGGAAGACTTGCCTTGGTTGCTTTGCAGTTGAGATTGACACCAGGACATCGTACCCACTCTCCAGCTCCATTTTACCCATCAACTTTGTGGGCTTACTTGACTCTCTCTTCATTTTCTGTATGCTGCTGTAAGTCTGTATAGCTATCTTACAATATTATAAATAGGCTGGTGTAGAAAGTTGTTCTATGTCCAGAATGTCCTGCTTGGAATACTAGATTCAAATATGACTGTGGTCTCTTCCATTAATGCATATATTTTGGTTTTTTGTACTTGGAGATAGGGCAGTTGGGGATTTTTATGCCACTTAGTAAGTATAAAGGCATTTTCTTATTTAGCTGATGAGCCTGGTATTGAGTGCAAAGCCTTTAGGAGACATATTCTGGGTTCTGAAGTTTTGTCTCTTCTCCTTCACATACAGAAATAGCTTTGAGGGAAGCCTATGCTCTAGATGAGAGCCCAGCTATTTAAAACGCAGCTCCAGTTTCAGAGACATGTTATTTGCTGATTAAGCTTGGAAGTAAATTGTGTCTTTTGGTGAATTGATTATAGTGTTGATTATTATTAAATGGTACTTATAGTCTCTTCTGAAAATGTAATATTTGTGTATGAGTATGGTGGCCTCAAGTATAGTGAACACATTAGTACCCAAGTAAGACTGCAGCAACCAGCTCCATTATACACACACATCAAGTCGTATGTAAGCTTTACTGATGTTGGCTGTGTTACCAATATCCTCAACTGTGGTCAGGTATGCTGGGCTGGACTAGAACTTCTTTGATATATTGTCATGATGAACTGTTTGCTAGGCTGGATTGGATTTTAGTAGGCTTGAGTAGGCTGCTTTGGCTTGTGCTAGGTTGGAAGCATGTTACTGGGTTAGATAACTAGGCTGCAATGGGTAGACAGAGCTGGCAGAAGCATGAAAAGAAAAACTCAATAGTGGAATAGCTTCACTGCTGTGGTCTGAATATTGGTGCTTCCCCAAAATTCATAAATTGAAATTTCATCCTCAATGTGATAGTATTTAATTAAACTAAAAGTCTTCTGCACAGCAAAAGAAATAATTGAGTGAACAGACAGCCTGCACAATGGGATAAAATATTTATAAACTATGCAACCAACAGAGGACTAACATCCAGAATTCACAAGGAATTCAAAGAACTTAACAACAACAAAAAGTAATCTCATTAAGAAGTGGGCAAAGGACATGAATAGACATTTTTTAAAACAATACGTACTAATGGCCAATACCAATTACCCACCCTCCACACCCAGCCTCGGTGGGACCTCATCTATGATGCATATTACAAGGGTACATGTCAATCTATTAAGAGTAGAGTATAAATGTCTTAACATAATAATTAACTGAGGTGAAGGCTATGTTAACCAGTTTGATGTAAGCATTCCAAATTGTATATAAAATTAGCATATTGTACCCCATAATGCAATGTATATAGTTATGATTTAATAAAAAATTGTTGAGAGGAAAAAAAAGTTTAACATAGTAAAAAAATAAAATAAAAAATGCTCAACATCAATGACCATCAGAGAAATGCAAATTAAAATTTCATTGAGATATCTGTCATCTTACATAACTCAGAATGGCTATTACGAAAAATCCCCCCCCCCAAAAAAAAAAATAGATGTAGGTGAGGATTCAGGGAAAAGGGAGCTCTTGTAGACTGTGGTGGGAAATTAGTACAACCTTTGTGGAAAACAGTACAGAAATTTCTTTAAAACATAAAAATAGAACTACCATTTAATCCAGCATTTCTATTACCGAGTATTTACCCAAAGGAAAAGAAATTATTATATCAAAAAGACACCTGCACTCTTCATAATAGCTAAGATATGAAATCGACCTAGGCGTCCATCAACAGATGACTGGAGAAAGAAAATGTGGTGTATATTTATACAATAGAATACTAATCAGCCATAAAAGAGAATGAAATAATGTCTTTTGCAGCAACATGGATGGAACTAGAGGACATTATGTTGAGCAAAATAAGCCAGGCACATTGAAAGAAATGTTGAAGGTTCTTGCTCATAAGTGAGAGTGAAATAATTCGTTCACGTGGACATAGAGTGTGGGATGACAGTCAGAGGGTGGGAGGTGGAATGGAGGTGGGTGATGAGATTCACTTAATGGGTACAGGTACATTATTCGGGTCACAGATATAATAAAAGCCCAGACTTTGCCACTACACAACACATATGTGCAACAAATTTGCACTAGTACTCTAAATTTATACAAAAGAGAGAGAGAGAGCCTTTAGGAGATGATCAGGCCATGAGGGCTCTGATGTCAGAATAAGATTAGTGCCTTAAAAAAAAAGGCTCGAGCAAGTTTTCTAGCCTCTTCCACCATGTGAGGACAGAGAAGGCACCATCTGTGATGAATGGGCCCACACCGGACCCCAAATCTGCTGGCAGCTTGATCGTGGACTTCTTATTTTTGAAAACTGTGAAGGAAGAATTTTTGTTGTTTAGAAACTATCCAGTGTAAGTGATTTTGTTGTAATGACCTGAACGGGCTAAGACAGGATCATTTTTCAATTTGGCAAATACATGATGAAATTTACCCATTCATACAAAAAGTGTTTAGTGAGCACCAACCTAGTAACAAGGCCTTCAGAAGCTCTTGGGTTAGATGGGAAGGTGGACAAGTAAACAGACTGTTGCAATAAAGGAAAATGAATGCAGAGTGTACAAGTGATGTCAGTTTAACTCGAAATCTTAGTCACTTAACCCAACAAAGGCTTATTTCTCCTTTATGTCTATCATAAATCCAGGCAATTCTCCAGGACCGTTGTCCTCCATATGTTAGCTCATCATTCTGGACTTTTCCAGTTTTATGTTAGCACCGTATCAACATGTTTCCATGACCACTATGCCATGGACAGTCTTGCATTAGACATTAATTGCTCCACCTATGGCAGGACAAATATTTCTTCCTTCCACAATCAAAACCAGTCTCATTGCCCCTCTCTATGTTAAGCATCCAGGGGTGGGAAAGTACAATCTTCCTATACTCCTGAAAGTGGAGGCGCGTTGGAGGTCACAACACGTGTAACCTGCCACAGGTTAGAGCAAGCCCCATGTGAGAGCTCAGCTCCTCTGAATGTTAACTGCCCTGTCCTAGCTCTTTTGCTTTGGGATTCTGCTGTCATTCTCAAAGGTATCTAACTTTGAACCTGTACCTAGCATGATCTCTCTGAAGAAGTATTATAAGTGAGAGGTTTCTGAGGGGTCGCCTATGACCATGCCAGGTGCCTGTCATTTGGAGTACTGCACTAGATTCTCTCTGAGCCTTTCATAACACTGTGCTTTTCTACTTTCTTTTGCTCAGATGCAGTAACTGAAGTGAAGACTGACATCTATGTCACCAGTTTTGGCCCTGTGTCAGACACGGACATGGTAAGTACAATTCTTCAGAAAGTAAAAGTGAAAGAAGATGCAACAGATCAAAAACAATTGATCGAGGTTTTTCTATGGCAGGGCCTTGTGGTGATATTTTAAGGAGGCCTCTTAGGTCATATGAATTCTCTCCTGACCCTCACCATCCTGTGTCTCCATCTTTGCCTTCCTCTCACTTCCTATTCACACGTAAATTACACACCCATGCTAGGAGCGCACGTCTCTTCCTTCCTCCATATATCTTTCAAGACTTGAAGTGGCTCCCTATTCTCAATTAAACTTACTTCTCTGCCCTCTCCCCTACATGTTGCTAGTACCACACACATATTGGTAGAGACAGGTCACATGAGGAGAGTGTTGAGGTAGGGGTTCTCAGCCAAGTATCTGGTGGCGTCATCCAAGAAGTCTGTTCCTTTCAACTAGGCTCTATCTACTGGGAATGCAGACTAACCAGAGTAATATAGTTTGAAGAAAGAGTCTAATCCACTTCTGGCAACTGGTTCTTCTACTAATTTGGGGGAAAAGGGGAGCTTCATTGCAGACACAAGAAATAAGGTAGGGCACAGCATAAGCCCTCTGCAATGACCACCCCCTTCTCCCACCATCATCCCTTACTGCCAAAGCAAAGAATGCCATGGAGAGATGAGTCAGAGGGTGGCAACCTAATAGACCACCTGCTGATAATCAGATATTAGCAGATGAATAATTGTCATTTAGAGAAACAAAACAGTTGTTAACTGCTCTGTATGCCTGGCAGTTTTTAGGTGCATGATAAGTTGTTGTTGAATGACTGACTTTATGTTACAAATAAAAATCTTACCATCAGGCCTGGCAGGTGTCTCATGCCTATAATCCTAGTGCTCTGAGAGGCTGAGGTGGGTGAATTGCTTGAGCTCATGAGTTTGAGACCAGCCTGAGCAAAATCAAAACCCCATCTCTACTAGAAAAGCTGAGGCAAGATAATTGCTTGAGCCCAAGAGTTTGAGGTTGCTGTGAGCTATGACACCATGGCACTGTACCCAGGGCAACAGCTTGAGACCCTGTCTTAAAGAAAAAAAATCTTACCATCAGGGAAAATATGCTCAAAAATATGTAGTGTATATATTCATTACTAAGATTTTTTTTTCTGTATTTCTGTTTTCACTGGGCATACTACTTGGTAGGGTACAAAGCTTTTTTCTACCTATTGGGTAAGTACAAATAGTTGCATAGGGAAGTGGTGGAGTCTGTCCTATAGGCAATGCAAAGCCATTGAGTGGATTTGAGTAGGACAGTGAAAATATATGAATGAGTGCTGTTTAAAAATACTTCGTCTGGTGATCTTTTCAGGATAGACTGCAAGAAGAAAAAGGCTGGAGGCTGAGAGCTGATGTAGGCATGGTGATTTTATATGGCTCTTTAATCAGTGGTGAGGTCTAGGAGTCAGAGAAGCTGGCTAGTTTTCGAAAGAGAAAGTAATAAGTATGTGAGCGGTTGGGAGGCTTGGAGAGAGGCCTGAACTTTGTTGTTCAAAATGAGTATAATTGTGATGGATGTGTTATTTAGTTCAGTGTAAGCATCTCACATTGTATATGGAAGCAGTACCCTGAACCCCATAAATGCATCAATGTACAAAGTTATGATTTAATAAAAAATAATTTAAATAAATAAATAAAAATTAAAAGAATAAAAAAAAAGAAGGGCACAGTAGACTCTCTGTGAACTCCTTGAGGGCAAGTATCAAGTCGTCACGGCTTTCCTGGCACTCAACAGAGCACTTGACACATAGGGAGAACTCAGTGAAAGTCTGTATGTCTAGATTACGCCCTCTTAACCTTTTGAGCAGATTTAGGCAAGCAGCGAACTCTTTGCCAGGTGGGCATTTTGTAAGTGCTCTTTAGGAACCCAGCTCTGCATTACAGGGATCTAGGGCCCCCTCCATTCTGAGAGCTCACGGGCCATTGGGAGTAACTAGATTCAGCAAAGACACACAGCTCTTCTTTGGTATTGCTGGGAGTTATGGATTAGGATTGCTAACACATGGGTGCGCTTACACATACACTCATTCCTTCTTGCTCATGAACCAGCATCCACAAATACATTCAGACAAATGTACATACACACAACAGATAGGTGTAGTGCACAAACAGCACCTACACTGTCCAAGGCATTCTACAGACTCACACATAGTGACACCTGTACCCAGGAGCGCCACAGAAGCACACACATAACCCCTGCCCCAGCTGGCTCCTCTCTCTGCCCCTTCGTCATCCAAGCAGGAACATGTGGGTGGACAGAGGCATTGGAGACTTTTCTAACAATTGTGACTTTCTCTCTTTTGAAATCTCATACTTCACTTGCTTGTTTGTCTTTTCTTTTCTTTTTATTTTGAGACAGAGCCTCACTTTGATGCCTTGGGTAGAGTGCTATGGCATCATAGCTCACAGCAACCTCAAACTCTTAGGCTCAAGTGATCCTCTTGCCTCTGTTTTTCTATTTTTAGTAGAGACAGGGTCTTGCTTTTGCTCAGGCTGGTCTCGAACTCCTGAGTTCAAGAAATCCACCTGCCTTAGCCTCCCAGAGTCCTAGGATTATAGGCGTGAGCCACTGCGCCTGGCCTTTCTTCTTCACCATTAAGCTGAAGCAACAGAATCATTCTTTCCTCATAGGGAGGACAGTCATTGGTCCAATATATTTCACATTGTTTTTAGCTCATCTTCCATCCTGTCACAAGGCAAAATAGCTGCCATCACTACGGCTGGGAAACTCATTTCTTGTGTTTTTTATAAATGTCTTCTTCCTATACTGCTTAGTAAACTGTGGCAATTTATCCAGGGTCAAGGATGATTTGGGGTAAAGCATCACACAGTCCTCTGACTTTTCAGTAACGAGTTGCAGCAACAACCTATGGTTCCTTGAGACTATAGACTTCTTTAAAACCTAGATGAAAATTTGACCTGGCAGAGTTCTTGGCTCATTTAAAGTCAACCAGCGATTTCCAGGTCCCAAACTATTTCCCTAGGCCAGGCGAAGTGGCTCACACCTATAATCCCAGCACTCTGGAAAGCCAAGGTGGGTGAATTACTTGAGCTCAGGAGTTTGACATCAGCCTGATAAGAGGGAGACCTCGTGTCTAAAGAGAGAGAGAGAGAGAGAGAGAGAGAGAGAGAAATACTTTCCTAAGGAAATAGAGGCAGTGTTTTGTTCACAGGAGAGGCGGGGAGGAATTGTGTGCCTGAGCACTGAAGCAGCACCACCTGCATTCCCTGGTCAAATACCAGCCCTTATAGACACAGGTCCTTAGTTTGACAGAAAGCTCCACGAAGGTGTGAAGCATGTCTGTTTTATTCATGTCAGTATCATTAATGCCTAAGTTAGTGTTTGGTACATGGTAAACCCCCAATTATTTATTAAGTGCAAAAATGAGTGAGGTGGAGCAAATTAAATTGGGGGGAAAAACAATATCTGCATCCCTCTACTTGGATGAGAGCTCTTCAAAGGCAGAAAACATATCAGGAAGCTCTCTAAATATCCAGCACTGAGCATAGAACCTGAGAGAGGTCTCCTCTAGGTGTTTGTTGAGATGATAAGAAACATTAGCCACAAACCCTGCAGATAAAGGGTGAAAGTAACCTTCCACAGAAGATGCCGTTTAGTAGCAAGACTGGTGAGCCCGTGATGGATGGCGCCAAGCTGAGAACTACAGGTTTTTAGTGACTTCTCCATTCATGAGAATAAGAAACCGTGACAGTGGGGAACTGAGCAGAGATGAAAGCTTAACAGTGGTGGATGTTTCCAAGGAACAAATCAGAGGAAGCAAGAATTTTAATGCAGGGTATAAGAGATATGTTGAAAACTGGCTGCCATGGACATTTTACAGGCATTATGAATGAAAGGCTTGGGGTATCCATTCGCAACCAATGGAGCTTTACAGCCACACAATGCGTGGGTCCTCAGCAGTTATACCAATTCTGTGTCTGATTTCCCAGGAGAGAAACGGAACAAGGAATACTATCCTAATTAGAATGAACTGAGGCCACGCAACCTTATTTCATTATCTATTGCTAGGAGAGTTTAGACCATTTTCTTTCTTGATTGGACGTATGGAAAGAAGTTGGAGGTGGCAAGGAGAGAGAAAGGCTGCACAGAATTAGGACACAGGGAGGGTAGGGGACTGGCTTAGGAATAGCATTCTGTGCACACAGTCAGTGATTGGAAAGGAGGGGAGAAAGGTCATAGGTGAGAAAGACTTCAGCTGCTTTTCTGGTCCAAATCCCCTCTAGCTCTCAAAATCCTGCGGCCCCAGACACTGTTGTGACTTCTGGTCCTTGAGCATGCCAGAGCTGTAGGGGCCCAGGGTCACAGATTATGTATTCAACAGTATGTATCTGAAGTGTACTGAGAAAACTTGCGAGAATAAAAGGGACAAAGAAGAGTAATGTTAGGAAAGGAAGAGAACAATTAGGAAACTGAAAATGCCAATTTGCGGTACTGTGAACTTCATCATCTCTCCAGGGATACACTGACTGCTTAGATCCTTTTGGGTAACAAGTGCCAGCTGTCACTTGTCAGCAGAGAACTTCCTAGAGAATACAGTGGGCAACCAGGTAATGGTGCCAGTAGACAATACAGTAAGAGAATTAACCATCTACCTTAATAAGAAAAATCAAATGGAGCCCTGGGAAATAAGAACCCATAGAAAATATTATAGTAACAATTCTTGACAATGATTCAGATGACAAACATTTTGGTTTGACAACTGCTGACTAAAACCATGCAACGTTATCCAAGTATCCAAACATCGTAAAGAAAAAAGATGTGTTCATTAAGAAGAAAGTAGCATAGGAACTTATTTCCTGGCGGCAGTGGACTTGAAATTATTGTACCTGGTTTTTCCCTAGCACTAGAAAAAGTGACAACATCCATTTCAAGCCCTCTCTTACTGGCAGTCTGAGGCACAAAATGGGTGGGAAGATTTATCTATTTCGAGAGCCTATTAGGCTGTTAAGTTTCCTCTTATT